GCATCCATGATTATTGTCAGCTAATAATAGCCTAGACGACAAATTCAGTCTTATAATTTAGGTCCAACTAATGAGCTCCACATGTACCATCGTGGGTTCTTATGAGCATCTCTTGGGCTTCACTCGATGACAAGCATCTAAACAGTAATATCGCCGAATGATCTACGATACAAGATTATATGTGGCAAAATCGTAGAAGAAGCTAGACGCTCTCCTTTTGATTGAGATTGCTTGCTTCGGATCGTCCGGCAATATACTGTGCAAGACATAGTTAACAATTGGATAACGCTAATCGTAGGGCTTAAAACCCCCAGCATAGCACGAACCTCATTGGCTTCTAGGATCTATTTGGGACAACATAATTGGTGGCTATCTACCATATTCCACTTGGTAGACTTAGAGGTTAAGGCTAAAGTTGCTGCTAGTAATGTTAAGGCATCGACATAAGTATTCTTGAGGCAAGCTACCTAGTCATTGTAGAGGCCTTTAAAATAATGAGCGAGTCTCAATGCCGCTTCACGGTAGGGTAAGAGGTCATTATGTCAGACCTCATACTCCCATTTTATCTAATTGCCGATTAACTTAGAATTGTCATGTGCTTCGAGATATTTCACACCCATGTCTTGGATGAATTCTAAGGCAATATAAGGTCATTATACTCATCCACGCTATCAGAACATAGCTTAATTAGCAAATATGCCCAAGGAAGGACATGACCATGAGATCAATAAGCAGTACCCTCATACCTCCGATGATTGTTTCTTTGTGACTGTGACGTGACATGCCATCGAAGTAAAGTTGTCATACTTGATGTGTTGAGCTAACATTTGTTTCAAATACCTCATCTGAAAAATCTTCATGTAGTTTGGAAGACTTAGGAATGTAATGATCTGCAAGGAACTCCGTTGTTGCTTGTCACTTGACTGCTTTTTGAGGTACGAATGTCATGTTGTACTAAAAAAGCGGCATTGGCCATTATTTATGTGTAAAATCATGTACCTTAATATGGTAGAAGTTAACATTACTTATAGAGGATTTTTAGGGGCATGTTGCTAATTTTGCCTGGTTTGTGCAGTGATGGGTCAAACCATGCTTTATATATGTCGACAACTGGTCAAACGAATCGCCCTTACCACAGTGATAAGGCTACTGAAGTACTTGTGCGGTCTGAGGAGCTTTGAAAGCTCTAGCTCAGGAGGTCATAATGACTGAAGTACTAGCACGGTCCGAGGAGCTTTGAAGGCTCTTGCTCGGGCGGTCATAATGACCGACTAGCATTAATGGTGATGGTGATTGGGTAGCGAAGCGTGGGCGCTAACTGGCCATGTATTAAGTACGATGTGATGAAGTTGACAGGTCGTTCCACTGTTCAAGATGCTCAGTGTGGGGTCTGAGCGTGGAACTTCTTGTTGGCCTCTTTGTTTTGATAATGTTTAACAAACAATTTACTACTAATGTTATTTATCTAGTGTTTGTGGTTTTCTATTTATTGTAGACAAACAACGCATTGGAGGATGGATGGAATTGCGCATTCACGATCATATCCAATAGAGGTTGGCGGAGTTGTGGAGTGAAGCCTACGCAATTCAAGTTAAAGATTCAAGTTCAAGCTTCATCCGTAAGTGTACCAAGTCAAGCTTATTGAAGATCAAGATTAAGCTTGGATAATTTAGTTTAGGTTTTTATATTATGTGTGTTGGTACTCTAAGCTCAATATAATATGCAACCATATTTTATGTTTCTTTGATGTATATACAGTTATATATTATATATTATATTATATATATATATAATTATTAATATTATAATATATATATATATTATATATTATACATAGTAAGTTTGGTTTCTATGTATATTTAGTAATATATACATACAATGGTGTTGAGTTTTTCAAGTTTTAATATGAACATTGAATAACAATTAAAAATACATTTTCTGTTTCATTACTTATATGCATATATATGATTTCATCAATATCATTTTATATGTTCAATGAATTCATGTTTTAGTGCATTATATGGGTATTTTTGATAAAATACTATATTCATTGTTTATTAGACTTTCATAACAATAATCATATACATATTTTAGTAAGTCTACAAAAATCATTTTGTAATGTTTCAAAACATGGTTAAGCTAAAATGTCAAAACTCATGTGTTCACATTTTTATGTTTTGGACTATTTTACAAAATAATAATATTTCTTATTTGGGAGGTTCTTTCTAAAAACCAGTTTTTGTAGCATGTTCATTATCATGTTTATAATCATTTCACAAAGTTTTATAATTTTTGGAATTTGTTTGATATTTTTAAACAGGATTTTAAAATTAGAAAACTGTTTCAAACCTGTCATTTTCTAGTATCAGTTTGCAGTCAACCGCCACGGTCGATCGCCCCTGAGTCCAGAGACTTAGAAAGTTTTCCAGAGGCTCACGATCGACCGTGACGGTCAATCGGATGCTCTCGCGGTCGACCGCCACGATCGACCGGATGGAGTCTCTGTTGTTTTGTTGCTCGCGGTCGACCACGATTTTCCCACGGTCGACCGCCGATCACCCAACGGTCATATTTTGTACAGAATCAGATTTCTGATTCGTTAGGGTTTCTGGTCTTTTGTTTGGGGTTTTTACTGTTGGTTTCTCTTCCTATATAAACCCCTCAAACCCCCTTCTACCAGAAACAACCATGAGAGTGTTTTAAACAAGTTTAAGAAAGTTTTAACAAGGGTTTATGGTTGGTTTAAGTTTGTTTAAAAAGCTTTTAAGCATTTGAGAATTTGATTTTGTGAAAACAATTTCACAAGAGCTTGAGGAGATCATCAATTGAAGTTTGGGCATTCAACTCATCTCTCTCTCTCTCTCACTCTTGATTTATAGAGAAGTTTTCCTAAACTCATTCTAGCTATTTATTGTTTTGATTCTAATTTTCATAAGCTAGATTTATTTGAGTTTAGTTTATTTTATTGTATCTCATTATTTATATACACAACCATTGAGCTTATTGTATTTCATACATAGTATAATTTGGGCTGTGGGGAGTGTAACTTAGAGATTAAGCCTACATTGTGTTCTCATCTATTGTAGAGAACAAATTATTTGTATTTGTCAGCTTCATTATGAGGATACACTTTGTAATACATTTGTACACCGAGAGGAGTGGTTGGTGACAGACGGTGTCGAATCCAAGAGGAGTGACGTCGGTTGACGAACCTAGGGAGAGGTCGCATCCGAGCACTTGAGGAGGAGGACACGGACTAGGCCAACACTTAGAGGGTGTAGAGTGTGATTGCAAGTGTGAAGTTGTAAAGTTTTCGGTTAGCTAGAAAACCGAGTGTGAGGTATAAACGTTGTTCGGATAAGCGTAAAAAACTCGGTGTGATAGTGGATTTCTCCCCGGGAGTGGGGAGCGGAGACGTAGGACGGAAGGTCCGAACTCCGTGATCTTATTGTGTGTTTGCATTGTTTATATTACCCTATCATATTTGTATCTTTAGTATAGATTGTTTACCCTTGTGTTGTTTATATATCATTGCATATATTTCACCATATAGGATATATCTCTTGTTCATATTGCATATTCTTGCTCATAACATATTATATATCTATCTTGTAAGAATAATTTATTAATTAGTTTTAATTAACATAAAATCGGATTAGATTAGCATAAGACCCTAATCAACCCCCCCCCCCCCCCCCCCCGCCGGCCCCGCCCACCCGCTCTAGGGTGGCTAACAGCGTCCTTTGTCTCGATTGTAAGCTTTGGAGCACATTCGGGTCGATTATGGCCTTTCATTGCTTCGGGTGTGGATCAGCGAAACAAGTGGGTGCTCTCAGATGTATGTGAGTCGGTCGGCTAGTCTTTATACGTGGTTGCTTCAAAAGGTTACATTAGGCTTCGAGATTTCCAGGGTGTAACAAATATATACAAAGAAATACATTCCAAAAGTTTCAGAGTGTACCAATCGGTGATGGAAAGGAAAAAGGGCAACAATCAACAAGAATAGACTCTAGGAGGTAGAGAAATAAAGGAAAGTCGTTGGACTTCAGAGTCCAAACTATCGTGACATGGTTACGTGGGAAAGTCAAAACTACAAATGATATCTTATATCCCTAATTTTATTATTTTCAGTTTCATATTACCAAACATAATCCAACCGTATATAGTGTGATAATAGTGATATTCTGCCTATTGGAATATGAATTATTGTGACATTTGAGTATTCCTTTAGTACGATAAGATTATCATGTTACATTAAATAACGCAATTATGTCAAAACTTAGTGGATACCTTATGAGATTAAATTGTTAATGCTAGCAAATCAGAAGGGAGTGGAGTTGAACTAAAGATATTGAGAAAGCAAACTAGTACCCAACTGTTATTGCATTTGGGTGGTTATATTTTGGAATTGGGTCCATGGGCTCTGAAAGCAAGCCTAATGAAAGCAAAACAATAACATAAAGGCTAATCTTGTGTTATGTTTTTTCAGTTTTATAACAATGTAGATCAAAACAATACATTTGTAAAATTAGTCAATAACATTATATAATACAAGTTTTAAGTAAAATCTCATTTAAGAGGATATAAAACGAAAATTTCTTTTAGATAGGTATATTTAAAATAAATAAACTGCTACACAACTCTATATATCTCAATAGTTGATTTCATTACATTAATATTTTCTAAAGATTATTCAAATTAGATAGCTATATACATTTTTTTTTCTTTAAAGTTTCTCATAAATCTATAAGAAATTAACGTTGTCAATAAATTTCTAAAATAATTAGTTTCTTTTGATTTTTCTATGATAAAATCCCGCTATAACACGTAATGTGCATACTCATTTTACAACCCATTTATTTTTTATATATGTGGTATGCACGTGTATCTTCAATAGCTTTTATAGCGAGAATCATTTCCGCTGCTGTTTCAAAGAATATGCACCGCACTGCTCCTGAATTATAAAAAATGTCCTCAGTCTAAAAATGAATAGATCATAAGAAAAACTTAAATAAGGTCATTTTGTGTAAAAAAAAAGAACTAATATATTTAATTACATCAGCCTTCCCTAAGAAAAAGAGTTGCAAAACTATGACAATAGGTAGAATAAAAGCCATGAACAAAGTCAACGTTTTCTGATGTAAACAAGGACCAAATTAATAACAAGAAACACTCCATCTTTCCTCAAAAGGAAAACAGGACACATCTAATCTACGCCTTACTAGAGGCTAAGATCTCCCATGATATCCATTATCCCCTTCTTCATTGGTCCTCATTGGTCTCGCTCTCATAAAGCGTCTTTGCTCTTAACCTACATTTTTTAGGGGCAAAGGTGAGAAAATCCTAAACATAACAATTTTCATATGGATGGGTTCATGTGTGTGAGCTACAGAGATATAAACGAACATATTATCAATAAAATAATGAACTGACTGTACTTATGATATAGAGAGAGGATATCACAACATTAAAGCATATACTTGTAAGATACTATTCCCTCGAATCTTCAATAATTTCATATTAGTACCTTACACTCTTGAAATTGTTCATAAGTCCCTCAAATCTTATGAGATCTTGCAGTTTGGTCCTCGGTGACAAAACTACCCGTCGCTCTATATTTCGGATGTTTTTGGTTAGAAGGTATTGCAATAACGAATGTAGTTTTATATACGTAGTTGCTACTGAAGTTGTTACATTCACATGTAAAGTTTGTTTGCTTTTGGGGAGTTTGAATAACAAATGTTGATGGTATTTCAACTCATGGCGTTACATAACTCTTAATTTTGAGTGGTGTTCCAACACCTTAATTTTTGGCTTATTTTGTTGTTGCAACAGCCTTTTAGTGTTGCAACAGCCTTTTAATTTTGCAACAACATCTAACCAAACATGAGTTTTGAAATTTAGATGTAGTCAGAAAAACAAGGGTTTTCAACTACTCTAACCAAACGCATACGTAGTTGCAACTAAAATATTATTGCAACATTCTAAAATTTGAGCACAGATGCAAAACTATCATTTTTTAGCATGTATGAGTGTTGCAACAATAATTTTGGTTGCAATTACATCCAATTAAATATTCATAAATGTAGTTGGAACAACATAGTGTTCCAACTATATCAATCCAAACACATGAATGATGTTACAACTACATTTGTAGTTCAACACCCTCTAACTAAACACATCCTTTCTTTAAAACCCTCTTATTATGTGACAGGTATTTTGGTCATTGCAGGACCAAATTTCAAGCTCCCTTAAGATTTGACGGAACTATGAGCACGCAATTTTAAAGATTTAATGTACTAATATGGAATTACTGAATATCATTATTAAGGAAGACTGAGACAAAAATATTAGGTCTCAGTATATACTGCTAAAAACGACACGTGAATCACAAATTACGAGGCTTCATGTTTACAGAAAATAAACGTCTGAAATCCTTTTTTTTTTTTAATGAAAGTTCTGAAATCTTAGTTCTTAGGCACACGTGAGATAAATTCTTTGGTCAAACGATTTTTCTGACAGGTGCCTATAAAGCACTCTTTAGGAGTTGAGAGAGATAAAAGAGAAATGAATCACAAATTGGCCCTCCTTGATTTGCACTTATTTCTCTCTTTACCTTTTCTCTCTCTTATCTTCTATTGACTGCCCTTGGACACCCATTAGACAAACTCTCTCATCTCCTAGTGAATATCCCTGGGCACCCGTCAGACAAACCTTTTGTCAAATAGCATTTAGTCTAAATCCAAGTTCCCTGTATCAACTATGGAACAATGGTTAAAATTGAATAGTAGATGAGTAGTATATTTCTAAATATAACCAAATATTCCTTGAAGAAATATGCATCTTCTAACTCTTTTACCTAAAGTATTTCTTAGACTCATGATGTCTTTTACATGAAATAAAGTTGGGTTAATAGCAATCAAATACCCTATAGATCCCCCTACTTTGCACTTATATAGCCTCACTTTTTTGACAACAATAAAATATATAGAATTTTTTTTTAACTTGCGCTTATATGATCCTCACTTTTTTTGTCAATGGTTATATATCCTATAATTTTTAAAACTTGCACTTACATACCCTTAGACCATCTCCAGCAGGAGGTGAAATTTCACCTCCTTCTCTCCTGCCACATCACTTTATTTAATTCAATAATCTTCATTTCCCTATCAACTCTACAGCAGGAGATTTTTCAGAAAGTTTTTTACTTTATTTGGGACCCACCATAAACCACATCACTTCAACATATACCCCACCATATTTATTCATTCTTTTTCCTATTTCATATATATTACTATTTTATTATTATTATTATTAATATAACTCATATATTTATAATTATAATTTATTAATAATTCAATAAATAATATATAATATTTAAATATATATTATTAATTTAATTTTCAATAATATTTTTAAATTAACATAAAATAACACACGATTTTATTAAGCATACGGAAAACCAAACACACCCAAATTATTGAAAACATTAAAGAAAACACACACTAAATTGCTAAATCTAATCGGAGGTTGTCCCAAACTTCTGCCAAATGTGCTCGATGAGATCCTTCTTCAGCTGAATATGTTGGGTCTTATCTCGTAGTTCCGCTCTAGTCTGATTATCTGCCTCAGATCGGTGTTGAACATGGACTTGAAACTCCGGCAACACGTCTGTTTGAACATTAAAAGAGGCGCTAGAGCTAGCATTGTTCGACGGTTCAAAGTCGATATTTTCCCAGTTTCGCGAATACGTATCTCGTTCATCCTCTACTATCATGTTATGTAAAAATAATGCACGCTCTCATTATTTTTCCTAAGACATCAAGATCCCACATTCTAGCTGGTTGGCGGACAATAGCGAAGCGTGCTTGGAGTACCCCGAATGCGCTTTCCACGTCCTTCCTGCATGATTCCTGTTGTTTGGCAAAAAAATTGATGTTTGTTGCCTTGGGGCATTTGAATTGACTGCACGAAGACAGGCCACTTAGGGTAGATTCCGTCGGCAAGATAGTATGCAAGATTGTACTCCCGCCCATTCACGGTGAAGTTTACCCGTGGAGCTTCACCAGACTCAATGTCGTCAAAAACCGGTGACCTATCTAGTACATTTATGTCATTCAAACTACCAGGAAGCCCTGAAAAAGCATGCCATATCCACAAATCATATGACGCAACTGTCTCGAGGATAACTGTTGCCGTCCCCTTGTGTCCACTAGTAAACTGCCCTTGCCAAGCCTTAGGATAATTTTTCCACTACCAGTGCATGCAATCAATACTTTCAATCATCCCTGGGAATCCACGTTCCTGTCCAACTTGGAGCAACCTCTGCAAGTCTTTCACATTTGGTCGTCGTAAGTATTCATCTTGAAACAATGCTATTACCCCTTCGCAAAACTTGCGAGTACACTCGATAGCAGTGGATTCTCCTATCTTGACGTACTCATCACAAGCATCGGCTGCGACTCCATATGCGAGCATGCGTATGGCAGCCGTACACTTCTGGATAGGCGTTAACCCAAGCTTGCCCGCATTATTGCGCCGTTGTGTGAAGTAATCGTCGTAATTTGATATAGAGTCCACAATTCGTAGAAAGAGAGGCCTTTTCATTCGATACCTGCGTCGGAACTGGGCGTCAGTGTAAGTGCATGACTCGGCAAAGTAGTCGGCCATGAGTCTCTCATGCGCTGCATGATGATCTCTATGTATGGATTTCCTCTTACGTGGTTGTTCGCTTCTCCTTTGCAATTCTTCAAGAAGTTCTCGCTGCCTATCAAGTATTTTTTCTTCTATTTCCCATTGTTGTTGGAACTCTTCTAGACTAAACTCATTTAGGAAAGGATCCATTGGATGCTATGATTTTTGAAATGTTGATAGGTATACTTATGATGTGCATCTGATCAGTTTATATAATGAAGGGTAGTTGTTCAAATAATTAAATTCACATGCAATTGCAGAGACATGTGTCATAGGGCATGCATGTGCAGAGAGTTGTCAATTCATATTTTGTATTATTATGCAGGTGTAGTCATTTCATCCTTTGTATTTTTTGCAGTGAAAGGTCAATTCAACATTTGTTTGTTTTTGCAGTGAAAGGTCAATTCATATTTTGTATTATTATGCAGGTGTAGTCATTTCATCCTTTGTATTTTTTGCAGTGAAAGGTCAATTCAACATTTGTTTGTTTTTGCAGTGAAAGGTCAATTCATATTTTGTATTATTATGCAGGTGTAGTCATTTCATCCTTTGTATTTTTTGCAGTGAAAGGTCAATTCAACATTTGTTTGTTTTTGCAATGAGAGGTCAATTCATATTTTGTATTATTATGCAGGTGTAGTCATTTCATCCTTTGTATTTTTTGCAGTGAAAGGTCAATTCAACATTTGTTTGTTTTTGCAGTGACAGAAAGAAAACACACAATCATAACTTCTTGAGAAGGTCTTATTTTCCAAACAGGTTCTTCCTCAACATATTATAAGCTTCTTCATCTTCATCGTCACGATCTGGTTTGTTTTTCAAGAATAACCACATCTCCATATTCTTGGAATGAGCCAGGTTATTCATAGCTGAAGCAGTACTTGATCTTTTCTCTTCAAATTTTTCATGAGCACTGACTAGCTTAGATAAGTCCTCCTCAATTGCCCCCTTTGATTTCCTTGACACAGATGTTTTACTAGAGGAAGCTCTAGCTTTCTTCTTTGCCACGTCCCTACACTCTGGACGTACAAGGGTAGGAGTTGATGATTCAACATCCTCACCACTACTCTTTCTTTTAGAGCCACTACTACCGGATGCATTTCCTCCTGTCATATATTTGGGTTGATTACGAACCACCTTCCACTCATCCAACAAATTCAATGTCGTACCCATTTGCTCAAAGTACAACTCTCTTGCCTTGGATATGTAGTTTTCATCGGACCAACCGCTACGCTTCTCCCTACATGCAGTACTGTAGCAGCCAATGAAACTGGATATCTTTCTGTTGATGTCTTTGAAATGACTATGGCACCGAGACACAATCCTCTCCTTTCCACTTTTGGCGTTCTCATTCACGTACTGTGTAATTTTACCCCAGAAAGTTTCACCCTTTTGGTTGTTCCCCAACTCACTATCATTACTACGTGAAAATAACCAGTTAGTAAAAGTATGTTGTCTTCGGTGGTCCAAGTTTCATAACTTGATCTCTTTGCTGATTGTTGGGTTGGAGAGAGAAAACTGTGAGGAGTATCCCCACCAACATTTCCCAAAGACATTTGGGTGGAAAATTCTGAGATATCTGTAGATCCGCTACTAAACCGGGGTGTCGCTGGCTCACTCGACTCCGTGTTAGGACAATTCATATGGGAGGGAACATAGATGCTTCCCGGAACTGGAGGATAACCGTAAGGAAGATAAGGATATTGCATGCCGAAATTTATTTGCATCATGTACGGCATTTGAAAATTGGGCTGCATCCCCATATTTTGAGTATTTTTGGGGCATTGTATATTTGGATGTTGTGGTTGAGGGAGGGTATTTTGAGGTTGGTTAGGAAAGTTGTAGTTGTAGGGAAAATTAGGATAGTTTTGTGAAGGATCCATGAAGAAACTAGCTTCAAATTGTAGAAAGAAGAAGAATAGGGTGTAGAAACTCAGATTTTTTTTTGGTGTCCAAATGACACAAAGTTAATCTCTATTTATAGAGTTTGAAAAATAAAAATTAATGGTATAAAAATTATAAATTAATTCATTGTATTTATCTCAAAAAATATCAATTAAAAATAAGGAGGAAAACAAAAATTACCGCCCAATCAAATTTCGCCACGCGGCAGCTGGCAGGCATGCGCCAGACCTGTCCGCGTGTGGCCTTGTCAGAAATACCCGGGGTGAAATTTTCACCCCTTGGCCTTGTCTTTTTGATTCACCTTTTCAAAAAAACTCCTGCTACAACCAAATATCTCTTCAAATAACCCCTGCTGCATATGGTCTTAGTTATGCAAACTTGAGGGTATTTAATTGCTAGTTTATAAAGCTTTATGACCTTTAAGTACAAGTTTTAAAAATTTTATGACATACAAATGCTGTAAAAAAAGTGAGGGTATATAACTGTAAGTTAAAAAAAATTAGAATATATAAGTACTGTCAAAAACAAGTGAGGGCATATAAGTGCAAAGTAGGGGAAACTATAGGGTATTAAAGTGCAACTAAGCCAATAAAGTTAGATGAAATAATTTGAAAAAAATCCCACAT